GCCTGGAACTCATGGTGATCTTCCTGCATCAGTCTCCCTAGTGCTGGGATTACAGGTGTGCATCACCATGCCCAGCAGAAAATTTTAAAAATGTAATCTGTTTTGTAGCACCTACCTTCCCCGAATATGACCACGACTTCCTTCTCTTTGACTATTTCAACATGATATTTATAACAAATGTAACAATAGTATCTGCTATATGGGGCTGTGATAAACTATCTAAAATTTACTTTAATTAAAAAAAGAAAAACGAAAAAAATTCAGTACCTTGATCCTTGCCAAAACTTCCTCGATGTATACCAGACTGCATGTTATACACATCTACAGTTCCCGATGAGAGGCCGATTACAGCAAAGTTTCCACAAGAAGTTATATCCACTGCCTTCAGGGATAGGAGAATAGAAATTAAATACAATGACATAATTCAACCCTATTCCATTCTTAAAGAAGTACATATAAATTATATGAGACAACAAAACATAACAAGTTAAAGCAAATGAAATTTATGAAGTCAGGAGAACTGTTTATCAAGATGATTGTTTATTTTAATTTATTCTGGGCAGTGTTAACGGCAAAGCACTCCGCAGCCCAATTTTTCCCTATTTTTCTTTACTTTGGTAATTGCTCCTGAAGCTGATATACCATCAGTTAGAATGCTCCATGAAAAAGACCAAAATACTTTAATTATGAGATATCAGGAAGGCAATATATGACATATGTTGAAAACATAAGATGGACAATCTATTTATTAGGTCATGGCCAGAAAGATCTCCAACTATTCATGTGTCAGTCAGATGTCATTCACCAAAGAAATCATTCAAAAGACCGCTGAATTTAGAATTAAAACAGATGAGCTTGATGGCTTAAATGAAAATATTTAACTGAGATTTAATGGAGAAAATATTTGAGGTTTAATATTTAACTATACAAAGCAAAATAAAGTTGATACACCATTTTGTGTCAGAAGTAGCAATATTCCTGGGTCAGGAATAGCAACATTCAAATACCACATTTCTAGGCTATTACATGAGAATGTTTCATGTACACATATTTTTCTAAATAATTAAAGGTCATTCCATTAAAAAAATGTTCTACATAGGAAATAATACCCCATGCTTAGAAAGCATTTTATCCTCCTAAATGGAACAGAAACTTCCAATCTTAGTACATGTGCTGCCAAAGCGAGCACAATAGAACAAAAATTTAACCTTATCTATTTTGATTAACTCATATTTATGTGGTGTTATAGTGTTACTTCCTCAGGAACTAATCAAGATAGCAGGCTATAATCTGTAAGTAATAAAGGCCTCTCTTGACCCTGCTACATTTTTTACAACTTATTTTAATAGGATTTATTGTTGTTAGTGTGCCTGCTTCCAGCAATCTTTCCAAATTTATTACTTCTATTTCCTATGACATAATAAACAGAGTAAAAAAGAAGTACCTTTGGGTCACAAATTATACTTTGGTGCATGGGCTGTCTAACAATTTTTTTTTTACTGGTTACTGGCCTTGTTTCAAGTAGCTGAAGTTGCCAGAAAAAGGACTCAGCACCAGTGAGGATCATTTATATGGTAAAAATCCTGATTATGAATGATTACTATAGAGTATAACAATACAGGTGCCAGGATGAGTAGTCTTAGGCTCGAATTTCAGCCTTCCTACTTATCAGCTTCACTGACCCATAGGCAAGTCACTCATTACATTAAGCCTCAATCTCATCACCTGTAAAGAGGCCAATGACAGACCAAATCAGAACATTTGTGAACATAATCTGAAATACATGCCAAACAAGGAGCCTGGAACAAAGTAAGCACTCATAAAATACCAGCTGCTATCTTTGCCACTACTACTACAACTGCTGTTCAAAACTGTACAGGTAAACTACAGAAACATAAATCAGAATCTGTATGGTTTAGACAATTATATAAAAGCTTAAGACTGACTTTTCCTACTATTAAGAGTAAAGCTTACATACTTAAATATGTACATGATATACATATGTATATACTTAAGTATGTACACAACAGGGTTAAATGTTGAATTATACTCTTTAGCACTGTCAAAAGCACAGGCATTCATTTAGAAATTATTAGAACTAATAAATCCAGTAAGGTTGCAAGATACAAGATTAATATAACCCAAAATAACAATTTCACTTATGGTAGCACTGTAAAGAATAAAATACAGGAAAAATTTAATCAAAGAAGTGTGAGACATACATAGACAAGTATAAAACACTATCAAGAGAACTTGTTCCTGGGTCAGGAATGGCAACATTTAAAGTGATCTACAGAATCAAAGTCCTAGCTGTGCTTTCATAAATTGACAGGCTATTCTTAGAACTCATGGGACCAAAAGAGCCAAAGCAATTCTGAAAAACAAGAACAAACTTGGAGGACTCAACTTCCTGATTTCAAAACTTTTATAAAGCTAACATAACTGAGATAATATAGTACTGGTATAGGGACAGACACATACAAAAGGCCCATCACCACATGAAAACACCATAAATCCTTGAGGAAATACAAATTAAAAACTCGCTGGGATGCTACTTTACATCCAACCTCAAGTAGTAACATAAATCTCTGCAACTTGCAAAACTTAACAGGAAATAACTTCTCAATGTTACATGTTTCTTTTGAACAATGTTATCAGGGAATCTGAGTAGGACAAAATTATCATAGGTCAGTTTTAAAGGAGAAACAAGTTCACTTACTGTTGCAGTGATGTCATCCGTCTTCAATTCTTTTGGCTTGAGAAAGTAAGAGCCTATTGTTGCTCTTTGATAATTCCATGTTGAGCAGGATAGCTTACCTTGATGGCAAGCAATGATACCATCCCAGTCACTCTCACGAGCTGACTCTACAAATAATTAAAATCATAAACTGATCTTCACGCTGTCATTATTAAGCACCTAATATTCCACCTTAATATCAGGTACCAGAGATAGAATAGTAAAAAGGTTATCTCTGATAACAATGAGCTTCCAATATAACAATTATTATTTGTAACTGACAAGTAAAAACTATGTATGATGGTGTTCAATGTATTCTGATGTTGTACACACTGTGGAATGACTCCTTCAAGTTAACACATGTTAACAACAGATTTTCTACATAAGAAATAATAGTGAGAGTGTAATGGCATGATAGTGTATTATAAAAGAACCTGGGAAAAGTTTCACTAAGAGATTTTGGGAAAGTAATATATAGCTTCCTGAAAAAAAATAGTACAAGTAAAAATTAGCTGGGCAGAGGTTGGCAAAGTCCTATTGAAAATAAGCCCAACAGTAACTGAACAAAACTGAGGATACCAAATAGGTGAAGTATTTTCTTGGGAGACATAACAGGACAAGGTAACTAGGGATGCACTACAATCTTCAAAGCCTTTACAGAGAGAAAATTCTAGCCTAAAAATAGTGAAGATGCTACTAAAAGATTTTAAACAATTGGATGATATAATTCAGATGTATGTTTTGGAAAAATCCTTCAGGCTCTAAGAAAACGAGAGAGGAAGGTGGTCAAAAAAGAAAAAAAAAAATGAACAGGATGTTATACCCTTGAAATAATAACCATAAAGCAGAAATGGTATCTACACAGTTATTTCCTGAGTTTTATTTTTCTAAATGGAAAGAAGCTCTGCTCAAATGACATACACTAAAATCTCAATGTACTTCAATGTTGATTCGTTATAGCTCTATGTCCTTGCATATCTCAGTTCTCATGCTTCCACATTAGTGGCTTTCATTGTATCAGCCATATGACAGAATGAAAAGGGCTATAAAATCAAAATACTACTAACAGTACCTGTTACAGAAAATAACAATGCCTGAAATAAATTCATGCTACAAACAACTCATTTTAATCTATACACAAAATCAGCACAAATTTGAGATTATTTTCTAAACAACAGCTGCAAATTCAGTTATTAAAACGAAAGAAGTAAGTAGAAAACAACGAAGAATTTCTTAAAACATAGAATGAAGCTACTTACCAGCTGCAAACTTCGTGATAGGTGGAAGTTTTACTGACATGGCATTTTGAAGTCCTTTACGTTTGACTCTCTTTTTATTTATTAATCCTGAGGTTAGGGGTAACAAGTAATAGCTATGAATATCTTTCTCAATGAAAAGTACATATACTCATAACAATCTATTTATTGCCACAAACTATATTCAAGATATTCCCATTAAAGTCAGGAGCAAAACAAGAATGCAATCATTATTACCACTGACTGTTTACATCTGGTTTATGTAATTAAGACATGAAAACAAATTATAAAGTATAAATAACTGAAGATCTGGTAAAATCGCTGCAATGATATGGTGGTCATACAATCAAGTCAATCAAAAGAAGCAACCAAATAATTATCAGGAAAAGTTTCACTGTTTAATCACTATGAGGTGGGATCAAAAAATACAATGAATGTTTAAATATTTTTAAACTGTTACAGTAAAAGACACATTGACATCCACCCCCCTAGTAACACTCCCCCTCACTTTGAACATACAAATCCCATTGTTCCTGCCACTTTCTGAAGTCCTCCTTCATAAGCATCTTTAGCTGTGCTGTCCTGGCTTCCTTGATTGATTCAAAACATTTTACCTTCCACAGTCATTTCGATTTTAGGGAAGAGTCAGAAGTCATATGGTATCAGATCCAGTGAATAAGGTAAATGAGGACACACTAATGTTTTCATGAGCCTGTCTTTCTACAGCATTCATCCCAGACATTCACCAGTAAAAACTGCCAGAACTGCTTCAGAAAGTGGAAAAAACGACGGGTTAAGTGTCAAAGGAATATTTTGAAGGGGATTACAGAAAACGTGTCTTTTACTGCATTAAGTTTTAATTTGAACATTCACCATATATTTTGATCACATCTCATGAGAAAGCCAACTTCCTAACATGGTACCAACAATCAATAATACAGTGAACAACGATTTCATTTATAATAACAGTAAAATGTCACTGAATAAAATCATATTCATAGAACCAACATAAAGACAACTTAAAACTTCACTTAAGTATGTTTTTTATAAAAGACAACTTGAATGAGAATATATCATATTCTTAGATTGGATGATTCTTAAAAGATATCAAATATAAAATATCTCCAATGTAATTTAAAATGATTCTAAAATCATTTGATTTTAAATTTTTCATCTGGAAGTATACACTTATATGAATGTCTAGGATAATTACTTTAAAAAGATTATTGTGCATGCTTTGGCAGCACATATACTAAAACTATTAGTATATATTTGTATATATTAGACTATTGATTACCCTGGAAAACATTTTTAGTCAACAAACCTTTCAAAGGCTAGAAAACATAGCAAGAAAATAAAGTAAGAGCCCTTCATAGCAAGAAAAAAAAAGAAAAAAATCGAGAGACAGAGACTGGTTATTTTGATGCTTTGATTAATTTTGTTTCCTTATGTAAAATTCTGCATATACAGGCACAAATTAGGTTACCGGTCTCTCCTGGGGGGCAGCAGTGCATTTTTATCACCCAAGATGCCTAACATTTTTAAATAATCTGATTTCATTATTTCACAGCAACTTTGATACTAGGATATTATTAGTACCTCGTCCATTTACTTTCTTTATCTAAGACAACGTATTACTAAAACCTCCACCAGTTTTGTCACAAGAATCTAAAAAATGTTTCTTTTGTAACCAGCAGCTTATTTTCTATCTTGCAAATGACCTACCATGTCCCAGGCTCTTGTTGAATTTTTCATGTACCGTGGAAAATGACTGAAGAGTTCCATCTTGGCCTACAGATACACACAGAAATTCCTAATTAGACTTCATCAAAACAAGCGCCATGCGAACCACAGATCTTATAAAATTAGGTTCTATAAAAAGGGCAACGTTACAGTTTAGGATCACTTAAACACTTCAATTAAAAAATGTGTAAATAATAAACTGAATGAATCCTGAGCTTCTGTCTCTCAGTACATACTAAAACAGTAAGGACAGATGGTTGAAACTCACTTGCACTTAGAATTTGTTGTCCATTTTGTCCATAATATCTGATACTGGTAAGAGGAGCACTATGTCCCATTCGGAATCTCAAAAGTCGGGCTTCACCTGCAGGCCCATCAAATATCCACACCTGCCAAGAAATAAAATGGTAACATTTTCCTACTATGTGCTATCTGATCTGCAAGTAGTTAAGCTACTACAGAAATCACTACTGGTATTGGGCAACCTACCAGATCACTGACACCGGACTGGGAGCTGGGAAAAAATAAGTTTCAATTCTTTTTTTACTTCATTTCAGTCATTATTAGTGCCTCATTCTATATTCTTTCCCTTTTTTATATTCAAGACTGATACATTAAAGCAGGCTTATAATAACCCAAAGTGTAGGTCAGATGAGCTAATAAGAGAACAAAAATAATCATAATACCCTGACAGCATTATCAGCGCCATTTGTGACAAGGAGTGGCTCTCTATGGAGAAACGTCAGTCCAGCAATTGCTGTAGAATGTGCATTTCTCATCTGATTGATTAATTTTTTATCTTCTAGATCCCAGAGTCCAATATGGCCACATGGGCTTCCAGCTGCCATTATTGGATGACCATCTGTTATTAAAATAAAACAGGTTAAGAAAAACAAAAACCTAACCATCCTCTCTTTTAACTTATTTATAATAAAGTTAGAAAAGATTATACCAATAATCTTTCCATGTTCCTTTACCTGCAGTATTTTATTAACTTCTAAACTACACAAAAAAAAATCTGTTAAGATTTCCTTAAATCTATTAAGATGACCTTTAAAGTAAAGCATTTCAAGTATTCTTAACTTTTATAAATTAAGTTACCTGTGCGAAATGAAATTGAAGTAATGGGTCCCCAGTCTTGGCGAAACTTCATTAATGTTTCATCAAATTTAATGTTGTGAATGATAACCTGACCCGACATAAGACCAACAGCAACAACATCCACAGCTGGTGCCTGAAAATTAAATTACTCAACTTTTTACTTTCTTAAGCAATGAAGTTTTAATACTCTTGATGATATGTATATTACTTATACATTATCAAAAGAAATAAAATGTCTTCTTAAAGGTAGCAAAAAGCTGCACAACCATTACTATTCTGGCACACTGTAACTGTTACTCAACATGAAAGCATTTAGGAATGATTTTTCCGATTACTTCCCAGCTTTAATTCTGCCACTCAAATCTCCTCCCAACACCTAAACAAAGCTGGTTTGGTAACAAAAGAGTCACACAGAAAAGGAAGCTGATGTGTGAAATCACTACAGATCCGCGACCAGATGAAACAGAAGAGATCAGCCACAGAAAATAAATGAATTGGGGACTGGGGATTTAGCTCAGCGGCAAAAGCGCCTGCCTGGCAAGCGCAAGGTCGTGAGTTCAGTTCCCGGTACCGGAGAAAAACCAAAAAAAAAGAAAATAAATGAAGACTGGCCATAAGGGGTCAACTACAAAGGAAGTGAAAGTTCACTCAAGGTGTGTAGGAAAAACCTGTAAAATATGCTAAAAGGCAAAAAAGTTGTATAACTAGTCTGCTCTAGCACTAACGTTCCATGATAATAGTGCAATAATTACAATGCTTTAACACAATAGACACACTAGATTTTATATAGACATTCATTCATTCATACATGGTTTACTGACTCAAAAACAAAAAAAAGGTTATTTCTGGAAGAGTCTAGCATTGAATAAACATAAGCATTTTTGGCCCAATTATTTCAAGCCATAAATCTAAATATCCTGACGAACTTCTTGGTATGACCTGGAGTTTCTCTTGTGTTAACAAACCCATAAGGTACTAAGTTACATTCCTGCAGAAGGATTCACGAAGTCCCACAGCAACCACAGGTTTACAGTACAATTCTAAGCACAAAAAGTTTTACAGGCAAAGGTAGCATTCCCAGTTTTCAACTACACTTTCAAAGTTCCATTTCCTTAGGATAACCACTATAAAAATAAACCAAGTTATATTATTATTTTGTCTTTAGGTCTAAAAATACGTTGATCCCTGAACTTAAAATACCCCGTTACTAATATTTCTTCTTCTCTAACAGAAAATGACTAACCTGCTGAAGAGCTGTCACGCCAACTTTCCATCCTGGAAATGTATATAGAAGTTTACTACAAGAAAAAAAAAATAGTTGAAAGCTATATTTTTAAGGAAAATAAAATGGAATATATATTAAAAAGTGAAATGATAAGAGGGGTTACTCTACCACATACTATCATAAAACATACATTAACTAATGTAATACTCAAACATTATCCCCATTTTCCAGAAAATAGAACTGAGATCCAGATGCATTTTAGAGATTAGACTGCAAATTGCTACACTATACTATCTCTTTAAAAACTTATTCACTGGTGACATAGCTGAGCAGTGCAGAGCCTGCCTGGCAAGCACAAGGTCCTGAGTTTGATTCCTGGTACCCCCTAAAAATTATTCAAGTAGAAGAAAAATTACATGAGTAAAAATACCATTTTATTTATATCATAATAAAAAATATCTTGGACTATAGGCAGACCTCATTTTTCTCTGCAATGTTTATCTAGAAACATTAATACTAAAGAGAACACAATATATTAGCCTTTAACAAAATAGTACTTGTGTGTTACATGAACTACTTTATGACAATAGTGATGCTACTGGTTCAGATTCAAATCACGAATGATAAATTATAAGTCTATGGAGCATAGATATCTACAATTAGTACAATAATACTCAGCAATAATCATTAAAGTATCAAGCCGTATATTAATTTTTGTAAATGGGTACAAATTACTCAAAATTTATACAGTAAATACTTAAAGTACAATGAAGAATTGCAAATATCACATGAATAACGTAAGGAAATAACCTTAGGAGCACAGTAGATATCCCCAAGTCTGGCACAGAGTAGGCAGTCAATGGTATTTGTTAAAATGAGCTGAAATTAGTGATTCAAAACTAGGAATTATGATAAACATTAAAAGTTTTCTTTTTGCATTTTCTAAGTCCTTTGGAAAAGAAACTGGAGTAGTCAAACATTTAATCTACATCAATAATACTATAGCAGATATTTACCATATTGATGGTTTATGATGAAAAGTATTTTTTCCCTGAAAACTATTTCTAAATGCAAACGCTAAATTATCACTTATTTGCTTTACTATCTCTTTCCTTCTTAGTTAATCAAAAACCAGATACTGCCCAATGATAGTCTTGTAACATTTTACTAGACAGAGCCCTCTCTATAGCTATACAGATTCTTTCCAGATAATGAGCCATTAGTAAGTACGTTTTAGTTAGTACTTATGAAGCTGCATATCATGTGTCTAGACCACATGCCAGTTTTTGAATATGCAACACCATAAGCAAGAATTTTAAAACCAGCCATATTGATTACAACATGTCTTTTTTGTTGTTGTTGGTACCACGAATCGAACTCATGACATCAGGCTTGCCAGGCAAGTACTTATGCCACTGACCTACATCCCCGGCTCTTAAAACCAGCTGTATTTATTGATAGGCTCCAAATAAACATAGAAGGGCAAGGAGAATTGAGAGACTTAAAAATGTATCGGGAAGTAGTAGGTAAGGACAAGGTAAGAACTACCAATGTTATTTTTTAAATAAAGTGCTTACTTGGATTTAACATTCCACAACTGCAGGCTTCCTTGTTCACTGCCCAGAAGTATTTTATTCAAATAAGTACTTGGATGCAAAATTGTAGAAATTTTGAAAGCTGATTTATCAAAAGTCAACTGCAGGTATTCTTCTACAAAGGTGAAAGTTATAAATAACAGGTAATTATTTTTATAAAATAGCTTAACGTATTTAATATACCCATATTCTTATCACTTACAAGTATATAATATATACACCTGTGTTGAGTGCTTGTTCGGCAGCACATATACCAAAAAGAAAAAGTGTAGCACATGAAGAGAACCATATGCTAAAAGAAAGCAAACATTTGTAAAATAACCTATCAGCATTCCTTGGGAAATAAAATAAATGTGAAGGGGACAACCTTTCAAGGCAATTTAAACTGTCAAAAATTTTCTACAAATTCTAATATACATATTTCACTGCAAATTACTTTACAGAAAAAAAATAAGGATAAAACATGATCCTTGGAATCAGCATTAATAATCTTACAATTTGATTAAGATGTATGAGTGAGTGAATGCTCTATGTCGGAGCCAAATATCTGGAAAGCTTGGTGAGCCATTTGAAGCTATGAAAAGTAAGAGTCAGACCTCCGTGAAGTCGAGAACAGGGCTTCTCATAAATTTGCACAGAAGAATCTCTAATAGAGGAGAGGAAAAGAACTTACAACCCTATGAAGTAGGGAGTGGCACAGCAAGCACAGTAATCACTTCCTACAAAATCAAACAATTCTTCAAACTCTTACAAAACCTGATATTGTTAACAGCAAGAAAAGGCATCAACACCAGACAGAAGCTATTGGGTTTTAACACTCTGATTCTATACCCTTACAAAAGTTTGGGGAAAAAAAAGCAAAAACAAAACAGTGTTGGAGTTTAACCCCAGACCTCATGCATGCTAAGCAAGCACTCTGCCAATGAGATGTCCCTCCAGCTCCATTCGGCCTTTTAATATTCATCTTCATAGAGAATAGTTCTAGCATTCTAATCCCCCTACTTGAGCAAAAGCAAAGAAAAACAAAACATAGGGGAGAGGGTTCTTAATCTCAGTTAAAACACAGAATGACTACCTTAAGGGTAATCTCTAGGACAGTGGTTGCAAACCTATGGCACATGTGCCACAGCAGGCTATCTGGATTATTGAAAGCTCTAAAAAGTCTGCCATTGTTGCTCTAGGATATTTACTAAAAAATAAATATACTCCATTGAACAATAGATAACAGAGAAATGATTTCAACTAAAAATGTAAACAGATTAAAGAATTTAAAAGATTTAATTCAGGATGGACCCCCCAGTATTTTAGTAAAGAAAGCTGGAGATATTCTGGTGATAAATTCCTAATCTTTGAAAATACAATCTTCATATCATTCAAAAAATATACATATTTTCCTTCAGATTAGAGTATCTTCAAGTTCACTATTATAACCTCTACTAAAACTTGAAAATACTCATCAATAATTACACCGGTGTGAATATATATCAAAATTCATTCCACATGCCGGGTGTGGTGGCCCATGCCTGTAATCCTAGCATTCAGGAGGCTGAGGCAGGAGGATCAAGGCAAGCCTGGGATATATAAACAAGTTCTAAGCCAACCTGTACTACACAGTGAAATCCTGTCTCAAAAAACAAACAAACAAAAAAATTCATTCCACAGAGGAAAAAAAAAAAACCTTGGAGAACAGTAAAGGAAAATGTTTTAGCTGAGATGAACACATTAAATAGGTTACATTTAACATAGAGCCTTTTTTCTTCTTTAACTGTTTACATGTGAAACCTCTGGTATAGAAATCGTACTTGCTAGATCTTTTTAACTTTACACATACCATCCCAAGGTAAAGGAAATAAATTAGTTGATTCTTACCTTCTGAATATATGTGCCAAATAATAAGAACGCTGTCAGTATCAACAGAGATAATGTGATCTCCGAAGGGTTGCAAAAGTTGGATTTCTGCCTTATGACCCTTAAAGGTATGTACTACCTACAATGTCAAAGTTTAAAAGAATTCCATATTATTGCTTATATACCATACAGTACTAGTCACATTATCCAAAAAGCAAGCTATTCCTACAAATGTTCATGTTAAGAAATGTAGTCCAAACAGCAAGGAACCAGGCATATTCTTTGCTCCCTCAGAAAGAGCAATAACGAAGTAAAGCACAGACTAATTAACAGAGATATTTTAGTCCTTAGACTGACCTCCAAGGGCACAGCACTTGCCTACTGAGGTTAGGAAAGAGGCATACACACACACCTAGGGCCCTTACCCAGTTCAGCCAATCAAACGCCCTGCACCAAAAGAACTGGTACATTCTAGAAGGCTGACCTCTACACATTCTATCACCAGCTGGTCTCCAGATGAGATGGGAGAGGGGGATGTAGAGTGCTTCTCCTCTATACCTTTCTGCTTTGACACAGAACACCCTTAGAGTAGCTGATAACTGTAACTATATCCTCTCCTCCATGGTTTTAGTTCTCATCATGCTGCAATAACACAATTTCATATAATTTACTCATTGAAGTCTCGTCATATGAACCATATATAATGCATGTGTGGAAGCATAAGTGTACATATGTACATATACAGGGGAAAGTGATTTTCTCTTTCTCTAGAAAACTGAGTAAACAGCAGGAAGAAAAATATCTGTACAAGTTCACATAGTTCAGAGATACAAACCTCCTTATTACGGGCAAATGCAGAGAAAACATTCCCATAAGCAGTGAAGACTAGCCTCCCATCAGCTGCCATACAGCAGATATCCTGTGGAACAGAATTACCTAGAAAAAGTGTAAAATAAGGGTTTTTAAAGATCTTGAAACAGAAATGTTAAAATATATACATATATATAAAACATTTTTCATGGTTATAACATTAAAACATATCCTTCAATAGTAATGAAAGCTAAGAGTTTTGACTTCAATGTTACAAATGTGTCGGATTCATAGATGTACATAATCTTGAAGAAATGAAAAGCTTTTGGAAGTATCTGGAAACAATCATCACTTGATACACAAAAGTCCAGTTGATGGGAATGCAGTCTTCCTGTGAGTATCTTTAAGAATATAAAGTTCACCAATAACTCCAGATAAAAATTAAAAGTAAATCAAGACCTAGATTCACATCTACTCTTTGGACCAACTCCAAAGAACTCCATATGGTATTCTACATCTTGACTTTTAAGGTAATTAAACATGATATGGTTTCCACTCAGTCTTCTCCAAAGTAAATACGCCTATCACTTCTCATATGGCATAATTTCTTGATTTCGCTCAGTGATATGGACACACTGCACTTTTCTTTTGGAGGTAGGAGGTTAGCAGTAGAGGATGGTCTAAGTGTTTCTATGTAGCATGTTTCCTTTTGAGATTTAGTTTCCATAGTATTACTTTTATAGGTTCATCATTCACTTTTGTATTCCACTTACGTTACAAGTCTTTCTTTTGCCTTCTAATCTTTTAAGAAAACCATAAATTATCAGACATACACAATAGATTCCTTATAGGTTTCCTGTATTTCTCTAATAAGGCTCATATGTGAAGGTAAAACTGGTACCTTTCAGCTTTGGCAAGTCCTTTATTCTATTAAACAGTTCAAGAAAATAAATCTCCCTCCCACTGGAAAAAATACCCAAACTTCTCTTACTTCTCCTGTAAATGTCTTCCTTACAGAAGAAGGAAATGATAAAAACAAAAATTACTATTTAGCAATCATCACACTAATAACTGATTCAGGAAAGTATCATCACTACGTGCTAAGAGCAGCAGGTGAAACTCTGAAGAGTACCAGGATATTTACACAACCTCAATGCATCTTACCACAACAGACTTATTAATTACACCAGGCAACACAGTAACTGTAAAATAGAGCCACCTGACAGATATCACTTTAACCAAATTAGCAAAGTTATCACCGTCAGGAATAGAATTAACCAACTACTTGTGTCTTCTGATAGAATTCACTGACAAGCCAGCATAATTTCTTTGTTATTCCTGCTGAAGTACATCCATAACTTAAATCTAACTATAACAAAGCACCAGAAAAACTCAAATTGAAGGACATTCTAAAAAAGAATTAGCTTGTATTTTTCCAAGTCAATATTGTGAAATTCAATGAAGACCCTGTCCTGGACTTCTGTTTTTGCTATTTAGGCTTATGCTCCCTCCACCCAGGATTCTATGTTACAATAAAAAAGTAAAGATACTAAACATGCATAAAATTCAGAATGAAGTTCACACTTACTTACTGCAACCAGACTAAGTTTCTGAATCTGTTTACAAAAAGAAAAAAAAGTTAGTAAGTTCTTATTAACAAATACAATTATAACGTCTGAAGATTAAAGCATAAACTCATACATAAATTGTCTACTCTGCCCTTCCTAAAAAAGACACTGACCCTAATGTTCATTAGGAAAATTTATATTTTCAACAATTTCATCAAGAGTAGTGTTCGAAACAGTTTCTGTAAATGGGCCCAAGAACATGTACTTTAGGCTCTGTGAGTTCAACTCTGTCATTGGTGCATAAAAGCAGATGCATAAAATAAATAAATGTGCATGAGTGCATTCCAATAAACTTTTATCTACAGACACTGAAATTTGATAGTTTTCATGTCATGAAATATGTATTCCTCCAACCTGTACAAAACTATCAAAACCATTCACAACTCCTGGTTTATTCAAAAATAAACAGTGGGCTGGAATGGCTTGCAGACTGTAATTTGCTGATTCCAATATGTGGGTATTATTCAAACTATGCAACCCTGAGGAAGTTACTCAACTTCCTTATCCTTAAAATTCCTCATCTGTAAAATAGGGATTAAAACAGCTACGCAGTTTACGGGACTACGAAAATTCAATGGGATTATAAATTTGTGTAAAATAGAATGGAGCCAGTCATACAGTAAATGCTCAGTAAATGGCAGCTGCTATAACCACCACTGTCGCCTCTCCACAGCTGGCTAATTTCCCTGTACAAAAAGCTAATCTGTAGGAAGTCTGATTGTGGACAGTATAACAGCCATGGCCATAGGACAGAGCACTTATACACCAAATCAGAAACTTGATCTCATTAAGGCTATTTTTTTCTCCCATATTATTTTCAATTTCAGACATGAAATGATTGGCTGGTATGAGAAGCATATACAGTCCTTAGCCAATAGAGTCCTTAGGCAATAATTGTACGCTATAATGCTATGGGAAGAGTAAATTTAAAAGTGTATCATCAATGTTAAAAGGAAAGGGGATCTCAAAAACCTTTTTTATGACAAAATTTCAATGCGGTGTGGAGTAAACAGTGAAACTTTTATATAAATGTGTTACTCTCCTAACCCCACAATTTCTTTGAAATAGCATAGGGCAAAATGCATTTGTGTACAATTGAGTGTCAGAAAAGATGGCATACCAAAGATTTCAGAACTTGTTAAAGTAAAAACTTAGGGGACGTTACATCTCAGAAATAAGATTTTAGCAAAGAGGAAAAAAAAGAAAAACCCACTAACAAGCAGGAGGATCTTGACAAGTAACTTAATTTTTCTAATCTTTCTTATTTTATGTAGGAGGGCTACAGGATAATGTGGCTTATCTTACAAAGAAACTGCTGCGAAACTGCTGCAAGGCTTGTAATGACACTGTGCCAGGTGCTCAAATGTGAGCCCATAAATCTTAATCTCACCCTAATTCTCCCAGCGGCTTTTGGTCTACATTTCCCACGCAGTTTGCGTCACCGACTACCAACAAAAACGGCTTTGCAAGCCTTCCAGCTGCAAGACCTTAAGAGCGACGGAACTTGGATGCTTCATGTTTACATCTTCGGGGAAAGGCCAATAAACACTAAGCAACTGCGCTGCCACAGAACCGCGACGCTGTGCACAGCACAGTATTCGCCCCCGGCTAGGCTGCCTCGGGACTTGTCGCCCGCTGAACGGCCAGGGCCGAGCACGTGGCCGCCGGGACAGCCGCTAACAAACCGGGAGTGGAGACGCGGGGCTGGGCCACAAAGGAAAGCGCTGCGAAGTACCGGGCGGCGGGGCTGCCCCGGGCCGGCGCTGGGAAGCGCGGAAGGCGCTCCTCGGGAGGTGGGGGAAGAACACCACTCACGTCATAGGTGTGGAAGCTCTTGCCCACGCAGGTCGTTACGTAGAACTGGCGTTTGAGCGCGCTGAACCGCACCACGTGCGGAATATCGTTGCTAAACAGCCCCAGGGCCCGGAACCCTGCGAAAAGCGCGCTGGCCGTGCGGCCTTCCGCGCCGCGTTCCATCGCCGCCGCCGCCCCAGTTCTCAGCTCCCGGCCCCTTGGAAAGCGCTCTTCAGCCCTTCACCACCTCTCTTGGAAAAACCTTTCCGCGAGCTGGAGATTGGCGGGCACTTCCGCTGCCCACTGCCAATCGCATCAGCGGAGACTGGCCTCGGTGCAACATAAAAAGAGCTCCTCACGGAGCACGCAAGAGAGGCGCTACTTGGTTCCGCGGACCAAAGAAGCGAGCACGTTTTGTTGTGCTTTCCGGCTCGGTTGCTGCCGGAAGAAACCAGACTGGCGTTCTGAGGGGGCTTTACTCGTGGGGAGCGCAAGGGAAGGGATGGCCAACAATGTGGAAAGGAGAGTGTCTTAACTAGCACGACAAAAGGTTCAACCTGTGAATATAAAGAATGAGACTAGCGAGAATATTTGAAGACTGGATATTTGATAATATTAAGAAATTATGGTTGTTTTTAAAGTACGTGGTAGTATTGTAATTACGTTTTAAAATATCTTTATATTCTGAAGATACACGTGCACAGATCATATGTGTGGGAATTTACTTTAAAATAATAGGAAATTCGAGTCCAGGTTTAGATGCAACAAGGCTGAAGCCAGGGAATGAGTATGTGAGACTTGGTAATACTTATGCTTTGGTATAAAATCAAAATTATCCATAATAAAAATACTTTTGCTTTTTAAAAACAGTTTGCTTACACTAAAATCGGTTGGAATGTTGTTGGGTTACTAATTGTTTTTGTTTTGTTTTGTTTTTGTTTTTTTCCGGTACCGCGAATCAAACTCACGACCTTGCGCTTGCCAGGCAGGCGCTGTGCCGCTGAACTAAATCCCCAGACCCGGGTTACTAATTTTTACCTCTGAATTATGGAAGTATGTACAAGAAAGTTTAACTACTGCATGTACATTTTAAAAGGTTTTCTAAATTGTGTATAAAGCAGCTTTTGCTTATCTAATCAGAAATCAATACTTTTCAATATATTGGTAATTATGGGATCAAAAAAGTCCTAACCAGGAATTTATAGTTTGCAAAGCCACTGATAACCAGTATTTTAATAGTTTCAAAATCAGGTTGTGAGGTATTTACAGCAAAAATGCTCCTTTATAAATGAGGAAGCTTGATCGTTCAGGTGAAGTGATTTGTCCATAGTTTCTAAAATTCTAAAATGTCAAAATCAAGACCTTTTTGTTACTGACTTTGTGCCGGTTGTCAAGGTGGTGATTCTTGGCTCCTGGTATCCCTTCGTGGAGTCTCTCTCACACTGAAAAGAACTGATCTTGTGTAACCAGGCTGGATCATAAAAGACACTGAAATATCTCATTTTCTTTGTCCTTCTTGAGTCACTAGCTCTGAGGAAAGTCAATGTTGTAAGGTTGTTGAGACTTATAGAGTGGGTCACTTACTGAGAAACTGACGACCTCCTGCCAAGATTTAGAAAAGCCGAAGAAGGGGAGGTCACTGAAGAGCAGTTGAAGGATGAGACAAATGTGTACTCAGTAATCATGTTCTGAAAACCAGATTCTCAGCCAGCCACATAATAGGTGTGAGTTCACATTAAGGATCGAGAGGTCCTCAGAGGGTACCTAACTTCCTCAGGATCACTAAATATTGAATTTTGAATTTAGATCTGTCTGGAAATCAGGACTATCTTTTTCATTACTGAGAATTGAACCCAGTTGTTCGCTTCCCCCTTTTAAATTTCAAGAGAGGGTCTTTTTAAATTGCTGTGCTACTGTTGGGTGACTGGAGTTTATGGTCCTCTTGCCTCAACCTGGACTTTATGGTCCTCTTGCCTCAATTAGCTGGGCAGAGAACCCAAAATTCAAGAATCCAAAACTAATGGAAAATCTAGTAATGTGGTAACAGTAGATATGTATGTCAGCTGTTGAGCTGTGATCATTTGAAGAAAGGGTGTCATAAAAGCTGATGTGAGCATGCTTTATTTAATAGTTGGCCAGAGTTCTTTTCTCCATACAAGTGTTGCTGTTTAGCTGGCAGTAAAGTTCATGCATGTGTGTTGGGAAAGAAGGGAACTCTGGGGTGTGATGGAAAACTACAATGAATTTTAAATTTTAAACACAGTTTGTTACAGTAAAAGACAAATTGCCATTAATCCCCCTCATAACACTCCTCTTGTTTCAAAAAATTTTGAAAAAACGTATCCCATTATTCTTGCCACTTTCTCAAGCAGTTCTTGGAGCCCTCACTTGTGTCTTTAGTTGCACTGTCATGTCTGCCTAAATGTCCTGAATTGATTCAAAGTGTTCACCTTTCATAGTTATTTTGACTTGAGGGAGGAGCCAGTAGCCCCAAGATGCCAGATCTGGGACATCTTGAATAAGGTCAGTGAGAACACACTTTATTACATTTTAAACTGCTTCAGAAAGTTGCAAGAAGGATAGGATCAGTGGGTTTGAAGAAAGGGTATTTTGGGGGAGATTAATAGCAGTGTATCTTTTGCTGTAATACATTTTTAAATTTAAAAATTTTTATCACAGTGTATAGCTATTGCCTTTTCACTTAGAGATGCCCTCAAAGACACTAGTACCAATTTAGAATTTAAGAGGGGGAAGACAAGGGTCTACAGTGACGATGAACCTTTTAGAGATGAGGGCCCAAACTGCAACCCCAAACCCACTTATTTATCTTAAAGTGCCAACACTACAATTAAACTTGAATACTGAAGTTTTAGTTTAGAAAACACACCTGATGCATTAACATTTTTTGTCTTAACAGGAAAACAACACATATGCCATAGGTTGGCCACCACTGCTCTGGGGTACTGTGGTAGAGGTAGTGTATCACTGACAAATGATTATTCATTTCCATTCAACAAATTAGTATTTCACAATATTCAGGAAAATGTATAGCCATGTCATGTCATTTTGAACTTTTTTCACAAAAAAGACTAAGTGTAATTTTTGAGTACTTTATATAATAATGGCAGTTTCTTTTCTGTTACTGACTTTGTGCCAGTTGTCAAGGTGCTGAATCTTGGTTCCTGGTATCACTTTGTGGAGTCTGTCTCACACTGAAAAGGACTGATCTTGTGTAACCAGGCTGGATCATAAAATACATTGAAATGTCTCATTTTCTTTGTCCTTCTTGAGTCACTAGCTCTGAGGGAAGTCAGTGTTGTAAGGTTGCTGACTTACAGAGTGGGTCACTTACTGAGAAACTGAGGGCCTCCTGCCAGCTGCTAGCACTACCTTGCCAGGTATGTGAGTGACCTTCCCTAGAAGCAGATTCTCAGCCATTGTCAAGCCCTCAGATGACTATAGCTGTGGCTGGTATCTTGACTGTAACCTCACCAAGGATTTTGAAATAGAACCACTCTAATAAGCCACTCATGAATTCTTTAGTCTCAAAATACAAATTGCTTTATCAGGCCTCTAACTTTTAGGGTGATTTGTAACATACTATTATGGGACCAATATATTAATGCTTATATTTCTAACCAAATTTAGAATCATGTAATTTATACTCAGTGTATTAAATGAGCATGTTAAAAATTCAAAGAAACTTAAAAGATCTTTCTAGTCCACCCCCCTCATTTTATTGATGTGTGGACTATAACTGTGTAATTAGATAATGAAAGAGGCAGTACTACATATCATTTCTCCTTATTCTCAGTAGAAGGGGCTTACACTTTGAGGAGTTGCTTTTTCTGGCTGTCCACATTTTCCTTCTGGTGATAATAAATACATAAAACAGTGCCTGCCACTGGTTCAATAACTAGAGTTAACACTGTAGCAGGATATTGCTTACCTGGGTAGAAATAAGAGACTTGCTAAATAAGTCATTTCTGTACTTTCCACTAGTAAAATTGTACATTTCAAAAAACAATAATAAATCTGCACATTTCAGTATGTCAGTTTTGATCTGAGGCCTGAAAACTACAGTAATATTTGTGTTAGCTAGCCTCTTTGAGAAATATCATTTAACTATTACAGCACAGAGAAACCTCTGTAGCAACAAATCATTTTTTCAACTCTATGGAAGTCCTCTTTTCTAATGTACTAAGTAACACTATCTGTCCTAGTAAAGAATATAAATTACTCTGCTTCAGGATTTTGCGTGTGTCCAAACCTAGGTTGGCTTATTCTTTAATCATGTACTTAACAACTCCGTACTAGCCAGTGCTGAAAAATATCTCTGTTGTTATCTTTATGGAAGTTTGACGTGGAAATGGGTGGGATATGCCTTTCTCAAAACTCAGGAAAAAACCTTTTACTAAATGAAACAGTAACGAATGAAACATTTTTAATAGCACTGTGCTAGCACTTAGCCTGAAAGAGTATGCTTAGGGTCTGCTTTCACTATAGGGATCCATGCAACATTATCCAGCTCTATTGTTAAGTTGGATTAATTTCTTTATTTTAAAGATGTTTTGCTTTCTTTCACAGTCATACTAGAGACTCACAGCTGAGTACTCCACAGTACTGAGCTAGGCTCATAGGCACTATAATGTTGTAGAGTAGAGATTACAGTATTGTAGGGATTGTCTCCAATGTTCTGTTCTCCTCAGCACTCTCCTGATTTGAGTGCCAGAAATCCAGATGCCTGAATGATCTGCCAGGGGACTTTGCCTTTCACATAGTGGCTTCTCTTTTCCTGAGTAGATTATCTGTTGCAAGATTAGACTGGTATAGGCCCAGTGACAGTCTTTCATTTCCTTTTCCTTTTTTTAATGCTATGTTGTTGTGTTAGATTTTTTTTGTTGTGACAAAATAGCTGACATAAATCAACTTTAAGTAGGAAAGATTTATTATGGATCAGAGCTTCAGAGGTTTCAGTTTCCAGTCACTTGGCTCCATTTCTTTTGGACCTGTGATGAGGCAGAGCACCCTGGCGTGGCTCCAGGATGATGCAAAGTTGCTCATTTCATGGGCAAGGCACACACACACACACACACACACACACACACACATAGAGGAGGGAGCCAGGGCCAAGATAAACCCTGAGAAACACTCCCTAAATGGCCTACTCCTTCCAACTGGGGACACCTTTTGATAGCCCATTCAGTTAAGCAGTCATCATTGGATTAAGCCTCTGGCGAGGTTAGCGCCAATATGGCCCAGTCAGCTCCCCAGGCCTCACCTCTGAACACTGTTGCA